CACTGGAAGATCAACTAGCTATTTTTAAAAGAAATCATTTGTCATTTGGAAAACATTGGATGTTAAGTATGATGCAGAAAATTTAGATATTATTGTGTTCGTTGCCCGCTTCATATATGTATCTTAGAGATATGATCTTATACAGTCATGATACTCTCATCATTGAAGAAGTTTATGATGCTCTACTTTTAAAGGAGAAGATGAAGCATCTTATTAGATTTGAGGTTCACAGAGATGGCTTTGTTGTAGATGGTGATTACGTAAGGACATATCAAGGTCTAATTATAATAATAAAGTCTATAATTGTTGTAAAAAATTGGGACACATCAAGAATGATTGTTAAATTACAGAATAAGAATAAATTAGTTGCTGCAAATTAGAAGGAAAAACAACCAGAAACTTCAGATGAAGCCAGTATTGCAGAAGATTATTATAATGATAGAGAACTTTTGGTTGTTTCTGACATTAACTCTAAACCTTGATAAGGATTGGATTCTTAATATATCTTTCACTTTTTATATGTGTCCTAGTCTTATTTATTTTCAATTTATGAAATAATTTTCAAAGATGTTGTGGTATGGAAAATAATTCACCTTTTAGGATAGTTAGCATCAAAAGGGTCAAAATCAAGATTGTTGCTGTAACATGTTTCAGATTTGAAGAGAAATCTTATTTCTCTCAGTACTATTGATTCAAAAGGGTATAAATACACTTGTACATGTAGAGTCCTAAAAGTTAGTAAATGTCATGTTGTGTTGAAGGGATAGAGAATGTCCCTATTATATGTCTTGCTTGGTTATACAAAATTTTTGGATATTAATTAGCAGAAATTAGGGACTCAAGTGGATTTTAAATTTGGTTCGGTACCGTTCGAGTTTTGTTTAAAGTCTATAATAAAAAATTACATCTTAGTCAAGTTAAAAAATTATAGGTAATATCGCTTTGCCACTACCAACAATGGTGTTGCAATATTCAATTGCTAGAAACAAACTCAAAATAGATATTAGGCATCCACAGAGATACGATGAAACTGATTTAGCTGTTTATGTTTTAAATGTGGTTGAAAGTATTGAGCCTAGCAAAGAACTTTCAACACAAACAGTTAATTGCATTGATTCTGTTAAATGGTATGTTTTTGCCCTATTTGGTAATTATTATTATTAAGTTATTTGTGATTTTGTTGCTCGTGGGGATAATTTGAACAATTTTGGTGCCCAAGATGATCTTATTGAGCAGTGCTTGGAATCAATTGATTTTCAATTATTGAGTTTGCCCTAGTTGGACTTTGTGGAGGAAGAAGGGGGGACAACTTATCTACTGGAGAATTTTTTTGGTGGAGAATTTTTTGTTTAAGATTTAGATTTTATTCATTGCAGTAGAATTTGTCTTCACATGGAGAATTTTTGAAGTTTTGTTCACTACAGTGTGACCCGAATTCTATTCGCAAGACTATTTGAAAATTTTATTTGAAGTTTAGTTTGGAATTGTAGCTGAAATCTATTTAGAAATTCAAGTTGAAATTCAATTTGAGAGTTTGAAATTTGTTTTGGACTTGAAGAAGACTCAAAAGAGTCCAAGTTGAAATAGTAGATGAATGAATTGTGCAAGGAATAGAAAACAACGAACAGGCTCTTGCTTCGTGGTGAGCTCTCGTGACTCGAGTGGCAGGCCACTGCTCGATAGTCATAAGATCACCGCCCGAGCTTTGGTTTTATTCGAATTTTGAACATTTTTCCCTTCGTCTTCTTCTTTTTTTTTTTTTTTTTTTTGATTTTTTAATCCTATTTTATTGCAAACACTCCATTATTGTATAGGCATAATTATAGTCAAACTCCACTTTATCTCAGAATCTCCTTGCAGTAATATATATGAGGAGTAAGCCTCTAGAAAAAATCAGTCCTTACATTCTACACAATAATTTGTAATCCTCCATTATTGAAATTAATAAATTTTTCTCTTTTGCCCGTAGCATATTTTTACCTCATAAATCTTGCGCTCTTGTTTGATTTTCATATTGTCATATTATTTTTGTTCCTTTATTTCCTGACAAATG